AAACAAAGGCCAAAGATGAAGGAGGAAATTCGGCAGCACCTACGTTCCCTTTTCGGAAGAGAAACATTAAAGAAATACTCTTAAAATTGAGACTTTTTTCATATTTTTCGTAACTTCATGTTTTTTTGACAAATTATCGTGTCAATATTATACAATATTGTGCGAAAAACGTGAGGTAACAAAGAGTTCATAGAGAGTCTCATTAGCAGTTCTCTTCCCATAATTAGTGGCAGAGCCACTTGACGACTAGGAGAGACTCGGGCCTATCCTGAAGTTCTTTCACTTTGTAGCTATGTTTGTGTGCTTTAGGTTGGATACTCATTCAACTTATGTGCTTTTGCTTCCAACTAGTTTTATTTAGTTTCTTTAATTGATTAAAAAATGTATTTTACAATAATATTGTTATGAAACCAAAGGCTTATATGAACTAACCTTCCCTAGTTAGTTCACCATTTTGCATGATAGAATGTTGTTTTACAGTCAAACCCATATATAAAGAATAAAGGAAGAATTTATCTTAAAATAAAATTTTCATAGCTGTAGTTTTGGGCCATGATCCTTAATTTTCATTCAATTAGGAACTCATAAGAAGGCAGTGCTGATGATATAATTATCTTAATTGTATTTTTTTTCATGACTGCATTACTCTCGTTTGATTAAATTTTCTTTCCACTACATAAAGTGAACCTTCAAGTTTTCTCCCATTGGTTATATTATTTTTGTCCAATTGCTTTTATATAGCTCAGAGGTCCCTCATAGCCTTGATTTCTGACTCCGCCGCTGCCCGAAATATCCCCCTTTTTCTTTTCTTGTGATTCGTTTTACATGAAAAACGTTTGCTCTACTATTTGAGAGAAGCTTGCTTTCTTCAATTTTATTGTGAACGAAGGCGACCTTATGTCCTTAAGGGTTTACTAGACGCTGATTCAAAAATGATTAAAAGCACAGCTTTTTTTTAATATCTAAAAATGAGTTTGGCTGCAGTTGGCAGAAAAAAATTGAAAGTATATCCGACTCGTAGAAGCGTTTTATGAAGAAGTACATGTAAATGCTTATTCATGAAGTACTTTAAAATGTTAACTCCAAATAGATTCTAAGGTCTAACCTGTTTTAGGCTATACGAGTGAGCTTTCGACTGATTACAATAAATACTTTGTAAATATCCTATAATTTGACAAATTACTTATACCAATACTAGTTAAAATTATGGTATTTCCTTTTACTTAGAAGATTGAAGATTTAATTTCGAATATTTTAAATGACGAATTTAATAGGTCAATTCGTCAGTTGTCCAAGATCAAATCCAAAAGCCTCACACAATCACCTCGCATTTTTATCATTCTTCAATTCAAAGCTTGGTAGCCCACCACCAATAATGCTCTCTTTGTCTAATATTTTGGGTACTAGGCACCTGTGCTAGGTGATGTTTCCACTAGTGGAAATTTAACATTTAAATATTTTTTTTCTTTTTTTTTTTAATTAACGAAATTTAGGTTTTATATCCTAGAAAGCTTTAATGAAAAGAGTTTCTCAAAACTTTTAATTAATAAAAAATCATCTACAAATTTTATTTCATAAAAAAAAGGCTTAAACTTTAATAAAAACGATTCAAATTTTAATAAAAATGGCAAAAGTTTTACATTATAATAATAATAAAAAACAACAAACACATTTTGACGTGCAGGACCACGCGTCACGACTTACATCACACACATTCACATACTCTTCCTCACTCAACCGTTCAACCTCTTTCTCTCTCTCTCTCACTTTCACATATTTCCATCAATTTTTCTCTCTCATTTCACCTCACCCATCCGCATCAACTTTTTTTCTTCTTTTTTTTTTTTTTCACCTCTCCCTACTCTTCTCTCTCCTTTCACCTCACTCTATAAACATTTTTTTTATTATTTGTTTATTTGACTATTCTTTCAATTTTTTTTTAGAACAAAGAGTAATAATATTACAAGATCAAAAATAAAGAAAATTTTCATTATTCAGTTTTATAAACACTAATATTGTCACTATTTATTAAACAGAACATTGACTACTTCTTAAACTGAACAATATTTCTTAAACTGAACATTGACTACTTCTTAAACCGAACACTATTTCTTAAACTGAACATTGACTACTTCTTAAACCGAACACTGACTATTTCTTAAACGGAACACTAATACTATCACTACTTCTTAAACTAAACACTGATTATTTTGTAAACTGAACAATAACTATTTCTTAAATTGAACGCTAGTACTATTACTATTTCGTAAACTAAACACTGACTATTTCTTAAACTGAAAACCTTGTAAACTAAACACTAATTATTTCTTAAACCTAACACTAGTACTATCACTATTTCGTAAACTAAATAGACTATTTATTAAACCAAGTAATAGTACTATCACTATTTCGTAAACCAAGCACTGACTATTTCTTAAACTAAACACTGGTATTATCACTATTTTGTAAATTAGTACTGTCACTATTTCGTAAACTAAACACTGACTATTTCTTAAACCAAAAACTAACTATTTCGTAAACTAAACACTGATTATTTCTTAAAATTGAACACTAGCATTATCACTGTTTTTTAAACTGAACACTAAAAGGTTCAAAATTTGAAGCTCTCTTCTCATTATCATATGAATCACTGACAATAATATTTATATTCTTATAGAATCAGAATAATTATTTTCACATTCCTATTTGTTCCTAAACATTATTCGAACAATTTATTTGACTTCCCTTTAATTTATTGAATACAAAATTAACAACAAAAGCATAAATGAAAGATCAAAAAAGCTAATGTGCTTTCATTGAGGAAAGTAATCTAACATTTTTTATTTTTAGGTTTTAGCTGGTTAGGGTTAAAATTAATAAAGAAATCCATAATTTGAACATGGGGTGATGATGAGATGTTACCCTACGTGTAGGGCTAAGTAGTAGTAGTCATGTATTAATGTCAGCAATATATTTTTTTTATCTCTGATCTCTCTCTCTCTCTCTCTCTCTCTCTCTCTCTCTCTCTCTCTCTCTCTCTCTCTCTCTCTCTCTCTCTCTCTCTCTCTCTCTCTCTCTCTCTCTCTCTAAAACTTTTGGGTTTGTTGATGTCAGTTTGAATAGATTTGGTTGGCATTCTTCTCTCTCTTTCTCTGAACATTTTCCTTCCCGGTGAAATATTTAAAAAGTAATTTGTGTGCTGCTTTTGCACTGTTGGTTTTCTGTTGAATTGGTAGATGCTTACTTTCGCACTGCTAATGTGCACACACGCTTTGGATTGAATAAGTTTTTGTTTTTGTTTTTGTTTTTTATCTCTTATCCTTATCATTAAATAAAAGTTATTAGGTGACTTTTGATTAAAACTTAAAGTTTTAAGTCATTTTTATTAGTTTTCCTTATATTCTAACAAGTGGAGAACACCACCTAGCACAAGTGATGGAAACGCTTAAAAATCTGTCCTTATTTTGGAAGTTATAGTAGGTTATTGTTTCATATTTTGCCTTCTCATCCAATCACGTCTCTCATAAATCAAGAGAGATTTTTCAATGTGATTAGAAGACGAGATGGTACATCATGTGTTACTATACTAATGTAGAAGTCGGCCCAAAAAGAAGTGAGTTTCGGCCCAGTGATGAAACGTTGATGGCGTGGTTGAGTTCTTGGCGATGTAAGATTGCCTAAGGATTTGGATTAGCCTCTGATGTGATTGAATTCTAGGCAAAGTGGTATTGTTAAAAATCAAGATTAGTTTCTGGATGAAGTTTAAATTAATCGCACAATGAGTCTAGGTTCAAAATCTTAATTCAAGTCAAAGAAGGTGAGATTCAGAGGTGACAGATTTTCGGTGGAAGAATGATTTGTGAGGAGTGCAGTATATAAAAAAGAGATCATGCAACAAGATAAGGACTTTCAATTTGACACACAAATCAACATTCTACACGAAAACCTCACACCTACGATTGGTTACTCACGCCAAACCTTCTTTACGATTAAGACACTCATTTTCTTTGAGTATATGTGTTCATAATACCAATTCGGCAGACAGCCAAACCTTCCTTAATATTCACCCGCTTGAGCTCATCAATAAACTGGCACGCCTGCATTAGCATTCGAGCTACTAAAAGGACGTAGTTAGCTCCTAGTTATTCAGCACATGTGCCGCATAGGCTTTGTAATTTTAAGAGTCAACAACCACACAATTGATCGCCTACTTACTAAGTATCGAACTTAACACAAATATAATATGTACCTTAAATAAAAAAAATGTTAACTTCAGTAAGAGTTGATGGATTTAGAATGATTTTCCTTCCCAGCTCCAGAACATGACGCACTATCCCATGATTCTCCTTCCCAGGTTTGACCTTTCGCCTGGCAGGAAGGAATACTGCTAGACAATAGTCTGTATTTGCTATTTAGATTATTTGATCATGTATTGGAGGGAGCTGAATCGTTTTCCAGAGGAGCGTTGGCAAGCATGGAGGCTGTCTACCTAAGCAGAAACCCAACTGCAAAAGCAATCTTGGAGCTTGTTGGGTCCGCTTCCGATGAACAAATTTACTATGATCATTTTGCATTCAGGACTTTTGGGGTAACTCTGTTAAGACTTCAGACTTTGTATATGATGATACGCATTCATTTTTGCTGACAAAAAGTGATGTTCTATAGAATCTAAACTACGAGTATATTGCCCTAGCTAACTGACTTAATTCACATATTCGTTTTTAATTGATCTCGATAGCATTGTGTATTGAAGTTTGTTTTAATTTGGAACAATAAATAGGTAAATGGTTATGGGATTGATTGCATGGCCAAAATTTTCCTGGATTTTGGGTACACGCCGCGGGAGGAGTTTAAGATTCCCAGCTAAGAAATTGAGAGCATTGTGGTTTTCTCCTCCCAGTGTTCCCATGCCTCATGGCGCTGTGTGTGTGTGTGTGTGTGTCTCCCTCTGTTCATGGAAAATAGATAACGTGTTGTGTTCACATGGTTCCTGTTTCGCATATAGTGAAACTGTTGTATCAAAAAGATGACAAATTAAATATGGTATTTCCAACCAAATATGGCAGAAGACATTTTTGCTCAAAGAAGCTTCACCTGCCCTTGCATTCTAAAACATAACACCAAAGCAAACATGAATCCCTGCTGCTTTTCCAGCTGTCCAAGAACAAATGCTTTAACCGAAAATTACATCTATACGGATCGAGGAAGCGAAAAACGGGGAAAAAGAAGGAAGAAAATGATTGCTGACAGGAGGTGGGAAATGATACAGACAGCTGCCAACCCTATCTTACGATTTGCCATTAGGTTTTGGTGATGGTTGGGGATGTTGAAGGTGATATGGAGAAGCATGGGTACCATTTGGTATCGAAAGACTCCTCTGCTGATTATGCCCGTTCCTCATCAGCAATCCTCCCTGTGGTCTGACGCCGTTTCTGGTATTTGGGCTGGACCTGACACGGTCACCTTGAATGGTCTGGAAATAATATGACGAGCTTGCCATATCCTTGAGGGCTGGCAGCGGCTTTAAGGCTTCGACAACTTCACTCATCAAGGGCCTGGCTTTTGGATCTCGACTAAGGCAGTGAGCAGCTAGTTGTGCCGCTTTTTGAACACCTTTTATTGAAAAGTGGCCTTCAAGCCGAGGGTCTATCAACCGGTAGAATCTTCTTCTTTCTCCTAGATGTGGCCGTGCCCATTCCACAAGGTTATGTTCGCCATTGGGTCGATTTTTGTCCATGGATCTTCTGCCAGTCAGCATCTCGAGTAAAACCACACCAAAACTATAGACATCACTCTTGGATGTGAGATGTCCTGCAACAAAATATAAGTGAATCTACTTAAGACTTCAACAAAGTATCGAGAATCTTTACGTATATCAACAACATAATGTCCAACAGGATGAGCACTAATTGCAGCCACCATCTTAAGACCTAGCTCCTGTAAATAACACTCACCACCAGATAATGGCATTATAACTTCTATATGCCCAAGACATGAAGTTTGAGAAACCAAACCAAGCAAACTAGTGAGGCGGATGGACAATCACAAGAAAAAACGAAAAGATGACCATTTAAGTATTTCAAAAGCAGTACCTTAACTAATTATCTTTGAGAGATATACTATCAATTCCTTACCAGTCATTACATATTCTGGAGCTGCATAACCATAAGTTCCCATCACACGGGTGGAGACATGAGTTTTATCACCCTCGGGACCATCTTTGGCAAGTCCAAAGTCAGACAGCTTGGCATTGTAATCCTGAAATGGCACTTTATTAGAAAGATGAATGATATAAAGGGGGAGTATCTGAGTTTGCCAAAGCTTTAAGCACATACTGCGTCCAATAAAATGTTGGAGGTTTTAAAGTCACGATAGATCACAGGTCTTTCTGCTTCCTCGTGGAGAAAAGCAAGGCCCTTTGCAGCACCTAATGCAATCTTCATTCGAATAGACCATGGAAGAGGCAACGACCCTGCACATAGTAGATACTGTCAAAGAATGCCAAAAATAATACTCCTAATTGGCTAATTGGGTGCACTGAATGAAAAATAGATTTTCAGAAAGGCAGTTACATACTCCTAAATAGATGGTTCTCCAAGCTCCCTCGAGGCATGAACTCATACACTAGTAGCCTTTGATCATCTTCAATGCAGTATCCTATAAGTTTAACTAAGTTTGGATGGACAAGGTCACCAAGATAATTTACTTCAGCCTGCCACGTTGAAAGCCAAACAAAAATCAATAATTGAATACAAAATGGGCAGAGAACATCAAACTATTAAGTTACAAAAAATAAGGAAAGGTCCAAACCAGCCATTCTTTATGACCCTGAAGTCCATCATGGTTAAGAGTTTTCACTGCAACAGTAAGACCTGTGCCAGGTTTTACTGGAGCAGTTCCATTTTCTTCTATCCACCCCTTGAACACGCAACCAAAACCACCTTCACCAAGAAGACTTTCAGGTCTGAAATTTCTTGTTGCCAATTTAAGATCAATAAATGTGAATTTTCGCAACCGTGAAGCAACTTTAAGTTCCTCTTCAAGTTTGGAAGTGGATGCATTACTTTCTGTATTACTAGTGGTTGACGAAGAGACTACAGTAGCTGTTGGTTGGTCTCTGCTCGTATCATTTATAGATTTAATTTCTGCACACACCAAAAAGAAACATTTGACAACTGATAAAAACATGATTTCTTAATCGCATTAAGTTGAAAACATGTTGCCATTAAGCAAATTAAGTTTAAAGCATACGTAGGATTTGATATAAGAGATTATTCAAGAAGACAAGTACACACAGCCGAAGAAATGCACAAAAAGATATACCAAATTCTGTGTGTTTGATAAGAGTATCAGCTGTCCAACACAGAATAGAATATCAAATAGAACTGCTCCAACTATCATATAAGTCAGTAGCGTTGAATAGGAATTTAGAAGACCATCTAAATTAGACGCTGTGACGACAGCCATCTGACATGGGCCATGTATCTTAAAAAACCAGTTTATATCTAGAATCATTATATATTTAACTCAACAACCACTCTTCCAACCCCAGGAAAATGTTGCTAAAGCCATAATTTTCCATCCCAGTATGATACAGACTCACCTCTGCTACCAAAATTTCATCTGCATGCCCAATCTTCTCCTTGCCAATTCCGTAATTATCAACATCACTGTTCCTAACTCAAACAGACTGAGCCTTCCTAGTTGGTGATTAGTTTTCATATCCTTCCACACAAGACAGACCAAATTTGTTGGTTGACAATCCTCAGAAGAAGCAGATAAGTTTTATACAAAGCATACAACAAACCAAAAGAGCGTGAAAACTACAGGATAGTACAGTATCAGGATACCCAAGCCTTCATCCTTCAATAAGGCAGAACACACTTCAAGTTTTCGAAAACGTGTGTCTTACGTATTTATTTAGTCATACAGTCTGGAATCAAGATATTGTTTTCGCGCTATAGGAGCCCAGCAAAGAGGGATAACTCTTGTTCTCAAAAGCAAGCTTACATATTTCTGTGGAATGTTTCTTTCAGGATCAAGAGGCTTTTTCAGCCACCAATCGGGTTATTCTCAAATGAGAAATCAAAAAAGCTCAACTGGGTTTCATCTCTAGACTCTAAACCCCCCTTCCAAAACCCAAATTTTACCCCGGTAACTGCAGGTATATTTTTAAAAAATAAAAGGGAATTTCCATGCTTTAAAATCCACCAAGAGCAAAGCTCTTTGGATTGACCGAAGTAGTATAATGCAGTCAACTTATGAGCAACTACTTACATAATCTCCACTCTAAATTTGCTTATCCTATGACTAACAAAGTAAGAACTCTACAGATTACACAACACAAGCTCAAACAGAAATAACAGAACAATCCCAAAAAGCAATCAATCTCAAGTCTCAACAAGCAAACTTGAAAGCATATGAGCTAGTAAAAGAAGTGATTCCAAGAAAAGCAAAAAGTTACCACCACAGTGAGCAGCACTGGTCCCACTGGTTGAGCTATCGACTTTGGATCTTGAAGAAATGCAGCTCCCAAAGAACCTCAGCCTAACCCAACACCCACTCCCCTCCTCCTCCACGTCATCATCATCATCCCCGTCAGCTTTGTGCTTCTTCTTCCTCCTCACCTTCGATTTGCTAATGTCCCAGGCCTCCACCTTACCATCCTCAGCTTTCAAACCCATTTCACAAACCCTAAAAACAATCAAATCCCTGTACCAGCAAACACCCAAACCCACCACCCTTCCCACCGCCGCAGAACCGTCTCTAGCCGCCGCCGACACAACACATATGAAAACCCACCAAAATCTCGGAAATTTCCGAACTTTACAAAAATCCAACTGAATTTAGAGAAAAAAAAAATGACGACCCAGCTGAGAAAATAGCTAGATCACGCAGAAAGTAGATCAAATTCGACGAACCCTTGAAGTGAAATCGATCAGCTCGCGAGGAAAAAGGGACAAAGACCAAAAAACCCAATAGAAAAGTGTCCGTTTTTATCAGAAAGGAACAGCCAAATCTCCAGTTTTAACCCAGAAATGTCTGCAGAAATCTCAGAAAATACTCCCACAAGCTACCCAGTTTAAAGTTGGGTGAAAAATAAAAAATAAAAATTTTGGGGGACCAAAAATAAATAAATAATTTGATAAAATACCCTTATAAGACACATATAATATTCCGAATTATCGATTCTCTCTCTTCATTTTTTAAAGGCTATTTTTAATGGAACCGAAGACTAGATAAAAGCAAATCGAGCTGCCCGGAGAAAACGGGCAGCTTGTATGAGCTGCCCTGGCTGCCCGTTGTATCGCTGGACGTTGCGAGGTGCAAGGCTCTGAGGCTTTGGGAAAGATGGAAGGGGGCGGGCAGTTCGGGCAGGTGGAGAAGTGAAAAGTAGGGACAGTTCGGGCAGGAGAGAGAAAGGGGAGAGGGTGGGACCCAGTCGGATGGTGACGTGTCTGGTTTGGGTGGGCGGACGGAAACGCCCGCGTCAGGTTTATATCATCACTACTCAGAACCTGCAAAATCTTGCAATGCATGCATCTAGTTATTCTCTTCTTTTTTTTATTTCTTTTTTTTTCAAATTTTCAACTTGTTTTTGTTATGTTAAAATTAAAAAGTATTTCCGAATCTTATTTAATTCTATGAGTCACGGATTCGTGGAGTTGGAAAACAAAACAGTGTTGACAATTTAAAAAAAAATAAAAAAAATAATAATAGCATTTTGTTTTCTAATTTTGTATTGGTGAGAGAGGGATGGTCAATTATTGAATAGATGTAGAAAATGCGATAAAACACATAAACAAAAAAAAGGTAATGGCAGGCATTATCTAGTTATTCGATTGAGAGAGAAATGAGTTCATATTGAAAAAAATGAAGATTGTGAAAATCACTAGTAATTAAAAGTTATAAAAATTATAAGTGATTTAACTCGTATCTGTTTTTAGATTAAAAAAAAAAAATCTAAAAAATGTAAAAAGCATTGGTGCGAAAAACAAAAAATATTTCGCGTATAAATTTATGATTGTTATTGAAAATAAAGATACTTTGACTATTGATGCCAAACCTATGTGATCATTGATAGAGGAGTTAAAATCTTCTGCAATTAAAATTTTGTGGTCTCTTTGTGTCTTGTCTACTTGAGTGACACGTGTTCTTTTGGCTTTATTTTTTTTAGTTTTTTTATTTTTTATTTTTACTTAGAAGATAAGTTGAAGAGTTAACACTGTTAAGTGAAGTTTAAATGAATTGTCAGGTGTCAACGAATGATGAGTCATAAAGATGTCGAATTTTGGATGCAGAAGATTTGAAGATTTGATCTCAGCTAGGAGAAGGACTGAGAGCTAAATTAAAAGGAGGATAAGATTAAGATTAAGGTATTGACATCATTAGTTTGTTTATTAGTTTTAAGAAATGTGAGTTGAGATTAAGGTCCTAGCGTGCAACGCAAAGATTGACTTCCAACTTCCAATATGCTAATTATTCTTCTTCTTTTTTTAATTACAATATTGTGCTCATTTATCGAATAAGAATGTTGTGCCTGCATTTTTTTCCCTTCTGCACTTTATTTTTTAATGTTCAATGATTATATTTAATTTACATGATTCAACTTTTAAATTAATAAAAATAAAAACGAGAAAATGTAACAAAAAATAAGAATGTGAAAGTTACTGGTTTTCGTAGAAAACAGAATATCTTTCCTCTAAAATTGTCACTCTTGAGTACCAAAAATGGAGAAGAAAACAAACTTTTTACTGCACAGTAACTGAATCCAAAAATAGAGTTTGGAACATTAAGAAGCACATGGTTATAACTTATACCTAATTATACCAACACCAAGTTTGACATGAATATAATCACATGTACTGTAACATCTCACATTGTACAAAGGAGTGGATCCTATAAGCCTTATATATATTCTCATCTCTAACTAGCACGAGGTCTTTTGGGAGCTCACTGGCTTCGGGTTCCATTGGAACTCCTAAGTTAAGCGAGTTCGCGGGAGAACAATCCCAGGATAGGTGACCCACTGGGAAATTCTCATGTGAGTTCCCATAAATAAAACCATGAGGGTGTGGTAGGGGCCCAAAGTGGATAATATCGTGCTATGGTGGAGTCGAGCCCGGAATGTGGTGGAGACCCAGGACGGGATGTGACATGTGTGAACGGGCGACTTTGTTCCTGAATTATCACCCAAGTAAAAATTAGTTCCAAAACTATTTTTTTCAGAGAAGCCATTCCTTAAACTAATAATAATTTGCCAATTACATCCGTAACATTAGATTTGAAGTTATTTTATCCAATTTTCCTTCCACATAAGCCATATGACGCATTTTACATAGTAATACCATCATTTTCTCACCTATAAACCCTTAAAGTTGCATATAAGTTGACGAAAAAATAGGATAAAATAGTTATGAATATAATAATAGAGATGAATTTAGTAGTTTTTAATGAATTTATGATATTATTTTATCAAAAAAAAAATAATTTAAGAACTTAATTTTCAGTGCAGTAATAATTAAGCGACTAAATCGAAAGTTCACTCTAATTACAATGTTTTTTTTTTTTTTTTGGAAACATTACATTTTACAACTTAATTTCATATGATTATTACCCAATGTTAAATGATGATTGGGATTTGGGGGAGTAGGCCAACCTGTCCTGTATCATGCCATAAGGTTAAGGGATCAAAGTTGAATACCACAACCCTGTCAATATCATCTGCCTGCATTTTCAGAAATTGCCATCATTTATTTTGTTTTAAAAATTTTAGTATGAATGTCAATGGCCGTACACAAAAATAAATAAAAAATAAAAAAAATCTAACATCTATATATTTATTTTTTGTTGAAATCACGAGTCTCAACCTCTAAAAGAGACTAACGCACTGTGTTTGAAAAATTAAAACAAGTAACATTATGTCATTAGTTTAAAATATTGCAGAGTGCGCTACAATATAAATAACGCACTGTATTTGAAAAATTAAAACAAATAACATTATATCATTAGTTTAATATACTGTATAGTCATGTAGCGGGTGCAGGTAAAGAAGCCCTCTTCAAAATGTTGCAAGAGGCATCACATCATACGGTGGGGAAATTTTGTTTTCAGATTCCAAATAATTATACTATTACACATGGTGTATCCGGCCGTGATCTAGAGAGACTGAAAAAGTTGAACAAAAATATTGACCGTAAAATAATGAGCCAATATTGCCACATATAAAACTCAATGAAAAGCTCTATAATTTTTTCCTGTATAAAATGATTACATCTCTCACACAAGTAAGATTCGTCTACAGAGAATAGAGCCTCCCATCGAAGGGATATTTTGTAACAATCCCTACTCTCTCCCAAACCACCATTTACAGCACACACACGGGGAAATTGTATTTATAGAACGATTGACATGAGAATCTCGACTGAACATAGCAAACGGAAACCCCGGTGCGGTACCTGTTGCCAAGAGCCTGATGCTGGATGACTACATGTGTGACGGTTCAAAATTCCTCCACGGCTCGGGTTAAAATGGGAGAACGAAATGCTGCATTGTATATTTCCTAAAGAATCCCCGTGGAAATGCTGGAAGTCGCGTTAATCTTCAGTGAGTACTCGGGTATGTAGGTAACACCTGTCGTGCAAGAAAATGATACTCGATCAGAACAACGTATGCATCAGTTGGAGGTTCGCATTAAAGTAAGGATAACCCTCAGGTATGATGGAAGATTGTGTTGAGGGAGGAACCAGAGAGAAAGCAGAAAACCAGCTAAAGTGCCTTCTGGATACTGATTCGTTACTGATTAAATTAACTGCCCAATACTCGTGCCCAATTTTTTTCCTGATGCTCCATCGTTAAGCAATCAAACTAGCGGACCTAGAATCCATAAAGAATACACCTATACAAGTGCTATTTATCTTCTTTTCAGACCTATGAATAACAATGGTCTTTTAACACTCAAGGCAGGAAAAATTTGAACAGTAGGACCGTAGAACACTCCCCCTAAGCATCAACTAATCATCCGAGCATAGCACTTAACTTTGCTAGACGTGAAAATGCATAAACCACTCATTCTTCCGACAGTGATGCATGGGAAACAAAAATGGCAGAAATAATGAGATGTTTACCTTTTTCCTTGACATCAATTTGCAGAGTGTCCAGTGTAATTATACCATCCGTCAATGGAAGTAGCTCAAGCTTGATGGTTGCCGTAGATTGAGATGGGACACACCTGATGTGACCATAGAAAATTATAATAACTGAAATATCAATGAATATGAAACGAAAAGAGATAAGAAAATGGAGCATTACCCTAGTGGAACTCTACTCTGAAGCCACAGATGTGTACAACACAAACCAGCGCTTGGAATGGCATCAGACAATGGAGAAGTCTGTTCGCTAAAAGAAGCTGGCCAAACTCCACCTTTAACATTTTGTTTCTGATTGTCCGAAAGGAGTGGTGAGCTTAGCCTCTGTATTGTAGGACTCTTTCCTGTATAGTCAGGAAAACTTAAAAATGGACTCATTGGTGAAGCAGGGGAAGAATTCAGGGAGACCACTGAAGGAGGGGAAGTGAATGAAGCTGGAGCAAGAACTGTTAGATTTAGATCTTCTGACATTAGATTTGAAACCTGGAGAGTCAAGACCTGCAAAATTGAAAAGTTGGATGAACCCAATACAACGTGAAAAAAGGAAATCCCCCAAAGACACATTTGAGCTACTAAGTATATGAAACCTGAACAGGAAGCTGAGAGACTCCTCCGTTGGGTGCACTAGATTGTTCAGACATTTCAGATGCAACAGAGATCATAAGATCCCTTGAAACACGCGGACGCCAACTTGTTGGCTGTTTGAAAAATAATCTTGACTCTGCAGATGTAACATAAAAGGAGAAGAATTAGAAATTAAAACTTAGGTCCTCCAAATATGGAACACTGAGAGATATATAATTACCAGTGTAGTTGCACCGACATGATACCATAATTGCATACTGATCAGCAGTTGAAGCACCCTTCTTTCCTCCAACAGTCTTGGGCGGCGGACGCAAGCTTGGTGCTGCATTTCCAGCCTGTAGTTGTGATGAGTGATTTCTTCTATCACCACCAGCCTTGAAATTCTTCCACAAGGATGTTGCTGGTTTAAGAATAAAGGAATGCTCTTCACCTCTCCTGCCATGAGAAACTTTAATGAGAAGAGAACAAATAAACTCGGGATTCCAAAAGCTATACATCTTTCTTCAAAAAATGTGTGATGTAACATATGAGTTTCAAATTCTAAAGATATGAAGCTCCAACTTTATTCCAGAATGATGGTGCCCTTTTTCTACGTCACTAAGTTTGCATTTGCTGTATCAAACCTGGTATCAGAGTAGCCAGACGTTGTTTTATCAAACTAGATGCAAGTCTTTTTTTTTTTTCCCCCTTTTCTCAGGCATCTAAGCTCTTTCTAAGTTCAAGAGAATTTGCCAACTGTTATACATGCAAAGGAATTTCTTCTATGTGAACACAGAGTACTAGGGATTTCGCCCGACCAATATAATTTTCTAATCCTAGACATTAATGTGATCAAGAAACGCACAATCACAATGAAAAAATGAAGTTTTTGTAACAAGGAAAACTACAGTGTGAAATGAAAACCAAATTGAGATACCAAAGACATAACAACAACCTGAGGGCTAGATTTGGCAAACTGTGATCATTTCCTGCTTCAATACATGCAATTGGTAATGATAAGGATTGTCCACCCTTTGAAGCCTCCTCAAAAACAATTGTTATAGCATCTATATACACCACAATGTTTGGTGCATGTGCTGGAGAAACATTCTGCACGACAAAAGGGTATCTTAATAGGAATGTGAGACGAAGCCTAGTAAACATGTCATTCCTAACAAAGTGATAGACATGAAAAAAAAAAAAAAAAAAAGGCAAAAGGCAAAAACAAGTATTAACCCATGTTCTGGAGAAATATTCTGCAAAACAAAATGATAACTTAATAGGAATGTGAAACAAAGCATACAAACATGTCATTTCGAACAAGCGTGATTAGATATTATCAAAATCCAGGAGGAAAAAAAAGCATATTTAACAAACACCTCGATCTAGTCAATCATTGCTCACACCTTTATCTGGACACAAAGAAGGTCATCTGTATTGCAGTCAGCAGCAAAAGAATGGATTTCTACCGGTTGTATAATTTCAAGTTTTCTCCTCCATCTTTTTCCAGGTATATAGATTCCCTCCAATCCACAACAAACAGAAAACCTTTCTCGCTCCAATGACACGCCTCGAAAAGATAAAAGCCCCTCGCCACCAGTTTTTTGATTCTTCAAGAACTTCTGAGATGAATACTGATCCCAGTCTTCAAGATCAAAGCTTGGCTTAGAACTTGCAGCTTTAATAGGTCCCTGTGGTGGTGTAGTATTTTGTGGTAATGATGACATGGAGTAACTTCTAAAATGGGAAAGGAGTTGAGAACCAGATTTTTGTGATGTGCTACCGATTCCTGAATTGGAAGTTAAAGGAGGAGATAAAGGGCGAGCCGGAGGGGGAAGGGTGTTATCCAAAGGAAGCAACCATTTCAACAATTCTCCACATGGGTCCTGATTTGCATCAACTAAGCTGTCCTGAGTCTGAGCAAACAAACTTCTCTCACGATATTTCTCAAACTGAAGAATCTCAATAACAGGGTCTTTCAAAAAATCTACGCCAACATTCACTTGTAAAAGAACCTGCATCCTTCCAAACAAGAAAATGGAATGAGAATAAGTGATCTGAACAACTGCTTACACTAGCCATGAATGTGAGAGGAAAAAGAAAATATAGAATATTTTAAAATGGAAGGGTCATGAATTTGTTATCAGAGTTATACAACTCTTACTTATTTTAGTACCAAAAAAGACCCACCAGGGCATTTCTCCTGTGAAACCTTGCAGGAAGCTTAAAAACTAAAGCTGCATGAATATGATGGAAATTCTACTCTAAACTTTCAGCTAACAAATGAGGACCAACAAACCAGCAAAAAGCGTACATGGGTTCTTCCATGTATGCCTAAAAACCTGCTAAACATACCTCTCTATTATTCTATTAACAATTTTTTTTTCCTACAGTAACCTGAAAACAAAATTATTGGAATACAAGCACAGAATAACATAAACCTAAAAAAATTCCGGTGACAGAGTCATTGCTAGTAAGCCATGGTCAACCTAAGAAAAAGATAGATAAAATTATGAGAGGATTATAGGGGGTTAAGTGTGAAGACTAACTGGATGGGTAAGCAAAACATTTGGTGCAGATAGAAGCTCACCACTTTTTCACCCTATAAACAATGTCCCAATATCTTTTAGATAGTTTGTTTCTCAAGCGGGTTGAAGTACGATATGAATATACATATGGTGGGTGTGTGTGTGTGTGTGTGTGCACGCGTGTATACAACACATATTATGTATGTATACCATGAATAACCTACAAGCTTCATTACACATACCACTATGTCACCATTAGAAAGAGAGCAACACTTGACATTATTTCTTGCTACGCCTCCAGATACATTGGGATCAAAATTCCCTTTATCAATAATGGCATTTACTGCAGTTTTCTGGGTTCCATTTTCTGTGTACTCTTGACCATCCACCTCAACAGATTCTGAAGACTTCTTAGAAATACTTTTTTTCGCCCAAAGTGCCTCACTTGACTCTGCAATCCTAACAAAAAAATGAGACCTCTTGAATCTTTGCAATAAAATTTCAGTCTGTCTTTTGTGATCTTCCATTCTAAGAAGAGATTCACTAGCAGAAACATCCTTTTGTGAATCAGTCCTCTCTTTTGAAAGGGTTTCACCATTTCGATCTGCACCTTGACTATCAGGACTCATATCTCCTTTTCCCAACAATGTGCCATTGCTATCTTCCAATTTTCGATTTTGTTTCTTTGGACTTAGTCTTATGCCATTTTTACTCATGGCTGCAGCCAATTTAAAGGGAGTAATAATTTCTGTGTCCTGCTTACATGCTGACAAGCATGCAAGGATGTGAACTTGTTCACCTGGATTAAAAAATAGATTTCAGGTCCTAATAAAGGATGTATCCTCCATGTGAAGAATAAAAAGCATGTCAAGACCAAAAGAGTCGGGAGATTGAAGAACTACCAGGGAAAACAAAGGAGCGGTCCAGAGGGCGTAATGACTGTATATCTGGTGCATCATTCCAATTATCAGGGAGTTCTTCTGCAAGAGCAAAACAATCTTTAGACATACTAGTTTATAATCACCATGATAGAATTACGCATTTAATACATAATATAAGCACTCAATCAACTATATACGTGCATATCATAACTCAGTTTATGTGCAAACCTATAAGAGCACATGCAGTCTGACACTATGCAAATTATCAAAACATGGTTGAGTCTAATGGAAAGCACTTACTGTATGGAATGGCAATCCATCCCTCCTCATCAGAGACATCATAATGCTTTGCTATGACAGAGGTTTCCTTCGTTGCACCAATTCCATTTTCACCACTAGATTCACTTTCTGCTGCATTATCTTCGGTTGTGGAATACTGTGGATACGAATCTTCAGCAATTAGACCCTCCAAGGTTGTTGCTGATTTTGGGGTAGCATACGTCTCTGCAGGTGGTTCGTGGACAGGAGACACAGGCGGTACAGACGGAACAGATGGAACAGATGGCTGTTCTGCCGTCACACGCTGTACATGGTGAGTAGATCGCATAAGAAAATTCATTGTCCCACCACTGCAAAATCCATAAATGTTGTCAGTCAAACAAAACAGGGGTTACGTTAAACAAGCGAATGTGTATGTATGTATGTATAGCTTGAACATGTGAACCCATGCCGATAAGACTGGTGAGAACTCTCATTGAAACGGCACTTAAAGTGCCTAGCAAGTGAAATTCACAACCGAAAATTCTCCATCACCTTCCTAAACATTTTTCCCATACACCCGAATTTTCGACACACGCAATCAAATGCCAATGGAAAAGCCATCCAAATCAGAGGCTTTTACCACACTACAACAATGGCCCTTGATCAAACAGTTCAAATACTCTAAATCTCAAATCACGATTCATGAATCATGGGATACGTATAACAAATAAGCAAACAAAAAAAAACTCTAAAATCTCCACAACCCATTACGAAATCTATACTGCTATTTCTGGTTCCCTGGATTCGGCATTGGAATTGAATTTCGAGATTGACCTTCCAATGCCGAATCCAGCAGCATATGGCTGAGAATTTAAAATCTAAATTCCATTTAGCTGTTCATCAGAACCAAATATACTGACCTGAGATCGAGTCCTCCGTCGAACCTCGGCGGTGATTGCAATCCTGGAACGTTTCGAAGCTGAAAACCCTAATTGTTCGATTCCGGTGCTTCTCTACCTGCAAATTCCGAATCGTAAGCTCCGGAAGTTCAACGACGGTGATGCGACGGTGGAGTGCGATCAGAGTTCAGATGGGACAGTCTGCGAGCTGTGATAGTAGACTTCCGGTTTGCAATTCACCACTGCGGTGCCACCATAACCGTCACTGTAAAATGAAGAAAATAGTTTGTTGGTTCTTTGGTCGGAAACTTTCAAATTCATGAAGCCCAAAAGAGAAGGAAACAAGACTATGAAAATCGGCCCAAACGACTTGGGCCCAAATTGCAGATTTTCCTTTTCTCTTTTTTTGGTAAATAAATATATAAAAATATTCTAATCTCTCTTTTTTTTTTTTTTTTTTTTTTTTGAGTAACTTATAGTTATGGTCTCTTAACTTTAACTCAATTGGAGTAATGGTCTCTCAACTCATCAAAACGTGCAGCTATGGTCCCTCAACTAAAAATTCATTACCATTGGTCCCTCAACTTTAATTCAATTAGAGAAATAGTCCCTTAATTTTAACCCAATTGTAGCAATGGTTCTTTCAACATAACTCATTTTGACAAAAAATTTGACGTAGTTGACGAAAATGACCATAATTACACACTTTGATGAGTTGAGGGACCCTTATATATAAATGGTTATCCCAACATAACTTATTTTGACGAAATTGATGAAAATGACTATAGCTATACATTTTGATAAGTTGAGGGACCAATGGTAATTAATTTTTAGTTGAGGAACCATTGCTCCAATTTGATTAAAGTTGAGGGACCATTGCTACCATTTACTCTCTTTTTTTTTTGGGTAAATCAATGAAGCCACTTTTCTTTTGTTCTTTGTCATTTTATTCTATAAGAAAAACTTATGAAAATGACTTGAAAATTTTGAATTTTAACGATAAGGACAAAATAAAGGGTAAAATGAATAGTACCAGGATTGACTTTTTAGTGTAAAAATGTGGTTTTTCGTTAAAGTGAACAGCACCGGGAGCTTTTCATTAAAGGTCCCTATTCTATAACCCATTAAGAGCTAGTTTGAGATTGTTATGTTATGAAAAAAAAATAAAAAGTTATTTTCAAAAGCAGGGATAGAGCTGCTTTTGTTTTCTAATATTTTGGATCCATAATTTTGAGGAAAAAAAAACATTTTTTTTATTTACTAAACACAATTTTTACCTCAAATTTTTCAAAAAGCTGTTTTTTTTTTTTTTAATTGAACAGTACTAAACTAGTCCCAAACAAAAGAATGACACATAATGACGGAAATTGAATAAGTATGATTAGAGTCGATCACTGTATTTTCGAACTCAAACCCAATTTTGTTTTGTTAACCCAACTTGGTTTGACAATGACTACTATAAAACAACAGAATTAAACCCACAGAAATTAGTTAAACGAGTCTGATTAAGATGGGATTAGGAGGTCAAATCAAAGATGTGTAATAATAAATGGTTTGGATCAAATAATTGGAGTGAAGTCGAAGCTGGAAGCTGGGGTGGTCCACATGTGCAAATATGAGTGGTCCCATTGTAAGCCAAACCAAAGGCGGGTTAGTTGAAACTTGAAACTGATGGTGGCGTGTGTCGGCCTGTGGGATGAGGATAACCGACGTCCCACCAACGCCCCACAACAATGACAAAGGAAAGTTCCTTCTGGTCATTTTTCCCACAATTACCATGCATTTCTCTTTTTTTTGTTTTGAAGTACAAGCAAGTTGCTTTCTCGATTGCTTTAGATAAAAACTGTCACTCTAATGGAACATGCAAACAAAGTAACAAAATTTATTTTATTATTTACTTATTATCCTGTGACAAAAAATGTTGGAATTTAAGGGTCTTTGACATTGGTATGCTATTAAAACTCAAGGAAAAATTATATAGGATTGCAATAAGGCCAACAATGCTTTTTGGCACGAAATGTTGGGCGATCAAGTATCAACATGTGCATAAACTAAGTGAATGAAAGATGAAAATGCTTCGTTGAATATGTGGGCTTACGAGAAATGATAAGATTAAGAAACAATGATATCTTAGGTAAAGTAAGAGTTGTTCCAATTGAAGATAAGATGAAGGAAAATTGATTAAGATGGTTTGAATATATGAACAAAATACCTACAACTGCTCCGGTTAGAACTGTAGTTACGAGATAGAAGTTCTAAGTTAAAATCGAGTTAAATTAATACAATGAGAAGCAGAGTTTTTTTTTTCGTACAAAGGATAATTATCTATATTAAGAGATGAGAGTTGGTTAAACTTCACAATGAACTAAAAATAATATGATTCAAATTCACTAAAGATAAATCGAACTTAAAACTTATTACTTATAATTGAAGAGGAATATCAATAGACTGTAATGCTAAATGAGTTAAAAAACAAAGTATTTGAAATGAAACAGAAGACTACACCACAAGTACATTGTAAAGTTACTGAAATCCACATACGCACACAATCCCGGGTTGGTGTCATCTGAAATCCCAATGCCAGTGGGGTTGTCGTAACTCTTGTCCTTTTTATGTTAAAACCATAAAGTGACAAGAACTTAATTCAACTCCACCCCAAAGTGAATAAAATAACCAGAGCAAAATTAATCAACTGATATTAAAATTAATTATTAATTCATAAAATAAATTAAAGTATTTTAATTTGTGACTCTGCACAGCTGCTACAACCTTTCTGTCCCGTGGGGTTCGTGCGTTTCTACACACTACTGTGTCAAATATTGCATCAGAAAAAAAAAAAAAAAAGAATTCAGATTTATATATTTTTCCCACTAATTAAACAGCAAACGATTGATGGGTATTTATCAGCGATTATTGTTCATTCGAAATCACAACAACCTGCACTAGATATTTTCTGAATTTGAAGATCCTGATGGCTGCCCCTTCGCTATAAGCTCACTCTCACAAGAAATGTTCATCAAAGCTGCAATCTTTAAATTTCATTGGTCACCAAACTCCCCTAGTAATCAATGGGCGACGCCAATTGATCAAATTCTTTGGATTTCTGCGTTCTCTGCTCGTTTTCTCAACTGGGGTTTCTCCAATTTTTGAACTTTACGGGTGCCCACATGGGATTGGGACTCGATCGAACACAGAGCGACGAAGGTTTTGTGGAAGTGATTGAGGAACAGGGACGATGGAATCGGAGCTGGGTTTAATCGAGGAGTCGTTGATCAGCAGCTACTCTGTCTGGGTGCACGAAGCTCTGAGCGGATTGCCCGACAGCTTCACGATCACTGACCCTTCGATTTCCGGGCATCCAATCGTGTTTGCGAGTAAAGGGTTCCTGAAAATGTCGGGATATTCGAAGAACGAGGTGGTCGGGAGGAACGGCAGAGTGTTTCAGGGTCCGGGGACTTGCAGGCGGTCGGTCATGGAAGTCCGGGAGGCCATCAGGGAGGAGAGAGATGTTGAAGTTAGTTTGCTGAATTATCGGAAAGATGGGACGCCGTTTTGGATGCTGTTTCATATGTGTCCTGTTTTTGGGAAGGAGGACGGGAGGGTGATTCATTTCGTCGGAGTTCAGGTTCCGATTTCGAGGAGGCCGAGGCGGTCTGGTGGGAGAAATGGTGTTGGTTTGTGTGAGGAGGGGTCTAGGATGAGTGAGATTGTTTACGGGTCGTGTCGAAAAGAAGTGTGCTTCGATTCGTTGGTTGATTTGGGTCGTGTTTTGTCGTTGGAATCTGCATTGGATGATGCTGATAGTAGAGGTTCGTGTAATGCAATTTCTTAATTTTTTGTTCCAAGTAATGTTGCAATATGTTTTTTTTCAATTGTTGTTTCCTGTTATCTATATGAGTGTTGGTGATGTTAATGTTAAAGTTACATTCCTTCCGGTGTTGGAGCTATGTTGATTGCGGTTTCTGGTTTTGGATGGTGACCAAATTTTTGTTGTGGTTGAGTCTTCGTTTACTATGCAACCCCCAGGATTTGACATTGAAGAATCGTGCGAGGCAAGTGATGTAGAGAAGATGAGAGCTGCAACTGCAATTAATAACATCTTGTCCGTGCTAACGCACTATAGCGAGTCAACGGGCAGATTAGTTTGTGGGAAGAGATGCAGCTTATCAGGGGTGGGCCTTCTCAGTTCAGCCTTAAATATATCTCTTGGTAGAATCAAACAAAGTTTTGTATTGTGAGTTGTTGCAAATTCTCATTTTCTTACTTTGCAGAAGGTTTCAAACTTTCTGAAGATTGCTGATGATTGTACATTTTGTTTGCTTTGAAATGATCGTGTTGCCTTGCAGAACTGATCCGAACTTACCAGACATGCCAATAGTTTATGCAAGTGATGCCTTCTTCAAACTGACAGGTAACATGTATTATTTACCAGGGTCTCTCTAAACCATTCTAAACTCCATGTTGTTTGCAAATCTATAGAATAATTGGGCATATGCAGTTACTGAACTCAGTGTTTTCCATGTATAGGCTATGCCAGACATGAAGTTTTGGGGCGCAATTGTAGGTTTTTAAGTGGGGCGGACACAAATTCCTCAATGATATATCGGGTATTTTTCCTTTTCCGTCGTGATCATGTCATCACCATGTACTTTGTTGGTTTGGTGGAATAGATAGATGTTAGTGCATCATCCCATTTTTGCTTGTTTTCCCCCAGATAAAGCAAAGCGTTCAAAACGAAACAGCATGCACAGTACGTATCTTGAATTACAGGTTGCTACTTAACGATTTGTTCTATACGTTCCAAATGCACGACATATTACTCATCGGATTTGACTTTGTTGCTGTTTCATTCTCAGGAAGGATAAAAGTTCATTTTGGAATCTCCTTCACATATCACCCATTCGTAATGCTTCTGGAAAGGTATTTTATGGCTAAAGCTTTCACGACTCAATTTTTTATATTGTTAATGGCTTTTTTCAATGAGACGTAGTGTGTCGACTTGGTGTGCCTTGGCTTAGAGAAAAGTAGGGCAGAAAATCCTTTTCAATTGATCAACCTTTTCTGGCATACAAATACGAAGTTTTGCTTTCCGGCGACTTAAGTTTTCTTCATTTCTTCTCTTGTATTGGGATTGCTTCACACTGTCAATTTCCATGTTTGTGTGCAACTATATGAACAAATGAGAAAATTATGTTAGCTTGGACATAATTACCTTGGAGAGATGTGTTGGCAGAGCTGTAACTATGCGTTTTGTGTTGCACAAGTATTACTGTTCTCAATAGCGATTCAGTTTACTGCTGCAAACATATATGTGACGCATTTGTTTGATTGCGTAACCACTTTGCACCGTCATGTTCAGCTCAGAATATGTTTTGGGGTAAATTCAGAATAAACTATTGGCCATCCGTATGCGTATTACACAACTAAAGTACATTGATGGATAATATCTCGGAGGTGTTACAGTTTACCAATTTCTGATCTTTCTCCATTCTATGAAAGAATTGAACCTCTTGATATTTTGGCCTGTTGAATGTGGTTGTTTATTTTCATAAATCCCATTTACGAGTCTTAGACACAGCATCCTTGGATCCAAAGGATCCAGATTAATACTCAACTGGCAGTGCTAATTGACAAAATCACTTTATACTCGATCTATTGATATGGACTGAGTTGCCCATCTCATGTCTCTCCGTTTCTCTTACTATGTTTATGGTTGTTCAGATTGCATACTTTGTGGGTGTTCAGATGGAGGAAGGGTGTAAGAACCAGGTCGGACATGGGCTAAGCCCTGAGATGAGGCAGCTTAGCGCTGTTGGTGCAGTCAGAATTGCAGTGAGGAGCTTATCAATGGGTGCTGGCCCTTCCAAATCTTGAGAGAGTAACAACCTCCGTACCTTGCTTGCTGCTAGTACTGCCTTATATCTCACCGGTGTCTCCCACGGTCCCATGCTAGAAATATATTCCATTGGGTTGCGTTTATAATCTTATCTGACAGTAGATGGAAATGCAGAAATCGGAAAAAAAGTTGGGTTTGTTGCCGCATCCGATCCTTGTTACACTTAATTGTGTATATATGAAAGGTTTGTCAGTGGAAATTTATCGACTTTCTGCTCGAAAGTCTCCCTCCAGCTTCAAGCTGCTGATGGTGATTGGTCTTCTCCATGGTCGTTTATCTTCTGTGGCGCTTTCTTTATTTATTTGTTTAATTTTTTTTTTTTTCTGGTGTTTGTCCTCCCTCTTTGATGTCTTCCTTCCTTGTTTGGTGTATTGTACCTTTCTTGGCAAGAAAAGAGATGTGGAGAAAGCAATTTGGCGTTGCAATCGTCTATTAAATTAAACACCAAAGTTTGTGTTGTGTTTTGTTTTTATCAAACTTCTGTGTTGTGGCAAAATGCATAGTTAATAAATAATTTGGGAAAATAATAGGGTGAGTTTGGATAAGGATAAGGCGGCTTTTTATCTAAAATGATTTGAGATTAGCATAATTCTTCATTTTAGTCTTTGAGATTTGAAATCGATATAACTAGTCTCTAAGGTTGTTCACGATTAATTATTTTGGTCATTTCGTGAAAACTCTCTGTTAAATAAGATAAAATGACAAAAATAGTCTTACTTTTTGTCAAATCATTTTGGCCCATTGTTTATTAAAGTAAGGGTATTTTGTCACTTTGGTCCTTATTTAACATAGGTTTTTAAAGGAACGACCAAAATGATTGATAGTGGACAAACTTAGAAACCACTTTTATCGATTTCAAATCTCAGGGACCAAAGTGAAGAGTTATGTCAATATCATAAACCATTTTGGCTAAAAACCTGATAAGGCTAGCTTGTATTAGGCAATTTTCTATAATACTCCCCGTTTATGTGATCTGAATGCACTGATGTTTGAACGGTCAAATTGAGATTATGTGAACCTAACCGTTTAGTGAACCTGTGTATACGATGTGCTGGTATTTAAACGGCTATATTGACACTTTGCAAATCGAACTGTTCAATGAACCGGTGCATCCCATAAGAGGTGCATTGTAGAATTTTTACCGTGTTATTATATACTTTGGAAATAAAACTGCTCCATCTCATGTTGCAAGTTGCAACTGGTATTTGGTTACAAATGATAGTGCTGTCAGTTCACAACCAATTTAGGACTCAACAACAATTTGTAGCCGTATTATGAATGTGGATGAAATAATTAGACGAAACTCGATTTACTAAATTATCAAATAATTTGTTTCCATTTTCTTATGGGTATATCGGTAACTCAAATTTAGAAAAAATTACTCTTGAATAAAAATTTGCATGTGAGGTGGAAAGCACAGCACCTCACTAATAAGACTTTAATTCTTAAGTACAATGTTTAAAAGACATTCTTTCTTGTTCTCCAAAAAGGTAAATACCGTGACGAAGTTATGAGCTAGTCCTTAAAAAAAAAAAAAAAACCGAAGAATCAAAATTACATCGAAATGTTTTCAAATATCTTAACTTTGTAACAAATTGTGTAGAAAATTCATTGAAATTGTTGATATTTTCAAATTATCTGTGAAATTTAAAAAATATCATAAGAATATAGTGCTTCACTTCCTTTCATGATCGACAACTCGGTTTACGAATACTTGATAATGTTAGAGATATTTAAAACTTACTTAAAATGCTTATGGAAATTAGGTGGTTATCTCTCCATCAAGATTTTTAATTTTTTGCTCATAACCTTAGCCCAGAAGATAGTTCATCATTTTGGACTACAGTTAATAACAAGACAGATCAATTTCGTGACACTTCATATTTTATCTCTTCCCAGCAATGTTCACTTAACCTTTTTAATTCTTTACCAAAAAACAAAACTTTTTAACTAAAAAAGTAATTTCAATAAGTAAAAGAGGTAAATACGTTTTAAAAAATTAAGTTCATATCTGATTCCGCCACAGCTCGGATCATCGTTGCATTTACAGAACAAAAATGAACAAGTTCAAGGAACACCCACATAATGATTTTACAGTTTTACCCTGCCAAACCCTAACTTATACAGCAATATGTGCATATTGGTGCGGCCCGGCCCGGCCCACGAGCCCAATTTGGCAATAACGAAGCTGTGTCTGACCCTCAGTACAGAACAAAACCTACCGCTTTGACCTAAATAGGTAAAAACAAGGTCACCACCATCACCATGCACAGCTCAGACCTCCTTCATCGTCCTCTTCCTCTGTTATCTCTTTTACTACGCTCATCTGCAAAAAAACCAGACACCGAGAGCGTGAGTCCACTGTATATAAATGTACACTCCGCTGCGTTGAAACAATCCCCAAGAAACCATGGCCTCCGTTTTCAAGAACCTTTCTTTCTCCGCCTCCATTATCCCTTACTTCGTCCCCATCTTCTTCTCCTGCTTCTTTATGGTCTCCCATTCCGAATACTTGTCCAATACCACGTCGTTACCCTCCATTACGACAAAAAATAGTAATGTATCCGACGGCGGCGAGTGGGTTCTTTTGCACAAGAGCATCGGCGTCTCGGCCATGCACATGCAGCTCCTCATAAACGACAGAGTCATCATCTTTGACCGGACCGATATGGGCCCTTCCAACGTCTCCCTCCCCGACGGCACCGCCTGCCGTCAGTACATCGCCCACAACAGGACCCTAAACGACTGCACCGCCCACTCCCTACTCTACAACCTCGCCAGCGATACATTCCGCCCCCTCTTCGTCGCCTCCGAGTTCTGGTGCTCCTCCGGCGCCCTCGAACCCAACGGCACCCTCGTCCAGACCGGCGGATACGGGAACATCGGCATCCGAAAAATCCGCACTTTCTCACCCTGCAACGACGGCAGCTGTCAGTGGGTCGAGCTCCCGGAAAAACTCTCCGACAACCGATGGTACGCCACCAATCAGATTCTCCCCGACGGACGTGTCATCGTCGTCGGCGGAAGAAGAGCTTTCTCCTACGAGTTCTACCCCAAGAAGAACGACGAGTGGTTTTACCTCCGGTTCTTGGCGGAGACCAAAGACCAGGGGGAGGAGAACAATCTTTACCCGTGCTTGCACCTCCTGCCGGACGGCAACCTCTTCATCTTTGCAAACAACCGGTCAATCTTGTTTGACTACAATAACATCCGGATCGTGAAGGAGCTCCCGGGTATGCCTGTCGCCGTCAAGCGGAACTACCCCAGCACCGGGTCCTCTGTCCTCCTCCCGCTCAAAATGAACGGGATTTTATCCGAGTCGGGTCTTCCTCAAGTTGAAATCTTGATATGCGGCGGGGCACCACCCGGCGCGTTTTACAAGGCGAAATATGAAAACGTACACGGCTTCGCCTCCAACAGCTGCGGCCGGATCAAATTGTCCGACCCCGATCCTAAATGGGTCATGGAGGAAATGCCCATGCCACGTGTCATGTCCGATATGCTACTCTTGCCCACGGGTGACGTCCTTATAATCAACGGCGCGTCGAACGGGACGGCGGGCTGGGAGAACGCGGAAAATCCAGTTTTCAACCCGGTCTTGTACCGAACCTACGAATCCGACTCGGAACGGAGATTCGTGGTGCTGAAGCCAGCCGGCATTCCAAGAATGTACCACTCATCCGCTATTCTTGCGCCAGATGGCAGGGTATTGGTGGGCGGGAGAAACCCGCACGAGATGTACAGCTTCAAGAGAGCTTTCCCCACCGATCTCAGCCTGGAGGCGTTCCACCCGCCGTACCTGGCCCCACTCTTCGCTTCCCTGCGGCCGTCGATCCTGACCGTCGAAACGAGGGACGATACCGTATCGTACGGCCAGGAGTTTTCTGTTACTTTTGTTTTATCCGAGTACCGGGCCGATCCCGGGATTACGGTGGCGCTCGTGACGCCGTCGTTTACGACGCACTCGTTCGCAATGAATCAGAGGATGGTGGTCTTGGACGTGGTGCGCCTGGTGCACCTGTCGACGTCTGCTTGCAAGATTACGGCGTATGGGCCACCGAAGAACACAGTGGCCCCACCAGGATACTACTTGCTATTTCTTGTCCACGCTGGGACTCCCAGTCACGGTGTCGGGGTTCGAGTTACGATCGGTACTTTTCTTCCTATTGTCCTTGAAGAGAGTTGCTAGTAAGATAGCGATCATATAGAATTACAATCGCTAGCTAAGTAGCAATTCAAGTGAAACAAAGTCGCTAATTTCATACCGATCCCCCTCGTTTTAATTTATTTATTTTCTCCTACCATAACTACAAACTATAATATTCATGTTCTTCAAAATATATTTTCCCATGCTAAATCTATTATAATTAATATTTAAACAGTTAAAATTAATGATTTAAAACCTAAATTTAAAGATATTCTCATATTTTCAACTTTAAAAATCAATAAAAAATAGTTTTAGGAAAAAAAATTCAATCAAAAAAGAAAAAGAAAAAAAGGAGGAGTAAAAATGTTACGATCAATACTTTTTTTTCCTATTGTCCTTGAAGCGAGTTGCTACTAAGCTAGCGATCATGTTGATTTACGATCGCTAGTTAGCTAGCAATTTAAGTGAAATAAAGTCGCCAATTTCATACCGATCCCCCTCTTTTCAATTTTTTTATTTTTTTTATTTCTCTTACCATAACTACAAACTATCATATTCATGTTCTTCAAAATATATTTTCCCATGCTAAATCTATTATAATTAATATTTAAACAGTTGAAACTAATGATTTAAAACCTAAATTTAAAGATATTCTCATATTTTCAACTTTAAAAATCAATAAAAAATAGTTTTAGGAAAAAAAATTCAATCAAAAAAGAAAAAGAAAAAAAGGAGGAGTAAAAAGGTTACGATCGGTACTTCTTTTTCCTATTGTCCTTGAAGCGAGTTGCTACTAAGCTAGCGATCATGTAGATTTACGATCGCTAGTTAGCTAGCAATTTAAGTGAAATGAATTCGCTAATTTCATACCGATCCCCCTCTTTTCAACTTTTTTATTTTTTTTATTTCTCTTACCATAACTACAAATTATCATATTCATGTTCTTCAAAATATATTTTCCCATGCTAAATCTATTATAATTAATATTTAAACAATTGAAATGAATGATTTAAAACATAAATTTAAAGATATTCTCATATTTTCAACATTAAAAATCAATAAAAAATAGTTTTAGGAAAAAAAATTCAATGGAAAAGAAATTCAATGAAACAAGAGAAAGAAAAAAAGGAGGGGTAAAAATGCTACGATTGGTACTTTTCTTCCTATTGTCCTTGAAGAGAGTTGCTAGGAAGATAGCGATCCAATGGACTTACGATCGCTAGCTAACTAGCAATTTAACTGAAATAAAGTCGCTAATTTCATACCGATTCCCCTCTTTTCAATTTTTTTATTTATTTTTTTTCTCTTACCATAACTACAAACAATCATATTCATGTTCTTCAAAATATATTTTCCCATCCTAAATCTATTATAATTAATATTTAAACAATTGAAATGAATGATTTAAAACCTAAATTTAAAGATATTCTCATATTTTCAACTTTAGAAATCAATAAAAAATAGTTTTAGGAAAAAAAAAATTCAATGGAAAAGAAATTCAATGAAAAAAGATAAAGAAAAAAAAGGAGGGGGAAAAATGTTACGATCGATACTTTTCTTCCTATTGTCCTTGAAGAGAGTTGCTAGTAAGATAGCGATCATATAGAATTACGATCGCTAGCTCAGTAGCAATTCAAGTGAAACAAAGTCGCTAATTTCATACCGATCCCCCTCGTTTTAATTTATTTATTTATTTATTTTCTCTTACCATAACTACAAACTATCATATTCATGTTCTTCAAAATATATTTTCCCATGCTAAATCTATTATAATTAATATTTAAACAGTTGAAATTAATGATTTAAAACCAAAATTTAAAGATATTCTCATATTTTCAACTTTAAACATCAATAAAAAATAGTTTTAGGAAAAAAAATTCAATGAAAAAAGAAAAAGAAAAAAAGGAGGAGTAAAAATGTTACGATCGGTACTTTTTTTTCCTATTGTCCTTGAAGCGAGTTGCTACTAAGCAAGCGATCATGTAGATTTACGATCGCTAGTTAGCTAGCAATTTAAGTGAAATGAATTCGATAATTTCATACCGATCCCCTTTTTTCAATTTTTTTATTTTTTTTATTTCTCTTACTATAACTACAAACTATCATATTCATATTCTTCAAAATATATTTTCCCATGCTAAATCTATTATAATTAATATTTAAACAATTGAAATGAATGATTTAAAACCTAAATTTAAAGATATTCTCATATTTTCAACATTAAAAATCAATAAAAAATAGTTTTAGGAAAAAAAATTCAATGGAAAAGAAAATCAATGAAAAAAGAAAAAGAAAAAAAGGAGGGGTAAAAATGCTACGATCGGTACTTTTCTTCCTATTGTCCTTGAAGAGAGTTGCTATTGAGCTAGCGATCATATAGAATTACGATCGCTATATAACTAGCAATTCAACTGAAAAAAAGTCGCTAATTTCATACCGATCCCCCTCTTTTCAATTTTTTTATTTATTTTTTTTCTCTTACCATAACTACAAACTATCATATTCATGTTCTTCAAAATATATTTTCCCATGCTAAATCTATTATAATTAATATTTAAACAATTGAAATGAATAATTTAAAACCTAAATTTAAAGATATTCTCATATTTTCAACTTTAGAAATCAATAAAAAATAGTTTTAGGAAAAAAAATTCAACGGAAAAGAAATTTTGCGAAAAAAGAAAAAGAAAAAAAGGAGGGGGAAAAATGTTACGATCGGTACTTTTCTTCCTATTGTCCTTGAAGAGAGTTGCTAGTAAGATAGCGATCATATAGAATTATGATCGCTAGCTAAGTAGCAATTCAAGTGAAACAAAGTCGCTAATTTCATACCGATCCCCCTCGTTTTAATTTTTTTATTCATTTATTTTCTCTTACCATAACTACAAACTATCATATTCATGTTCTTCAAAATATATTTTCCCATGCTAAATCTATTATAATTAATATTCAAACAGTTGAAATTAATGATTTAAAACCTAAATTTAAAGATATTCTCATATTTTCAACTTTAAAAATCAATAAAAAATAGTTTTAGGAAAAAAAATTCCATCAAAAAAGAAAAAGAAAAAAAGGAGGAGTAAAAATGTTACGATCGGTACTTTTCTTCCTATTGTCCTTGAAGAGAGTTGCTAGTAAGATAGCGATCCTTTGGAATTACGATCACTAGTTAACTAACAATTTAAGTGAAATATAGTCGCTAATTTCATACCGATCCCCCTCTTTTTAATTTTTTTATTCATTTATTTTCTCTTACCATAACTACAAACTATCATATTCATATTCTTCAAAATATATTTTCCCATGCTAAATCTATTATAATTAATATTTAAACATTTGAAATGAATGATTTAAAACGTAAATTTAAAGATATTCTCATATTTTCAACTTTAAAAATCAATAAAAACTAGTTTTAGGAAAAAAAATTCAAAGGAAAAGAAATTCAATGAAAAAAGAAAAAGAAAAAAATGAGGGGGAAAAATGTTACGATCGGAACTTTTCTTCCTATTGTCCATGAACATAGTTGCTAATAAGATAGCGATCCAATGGAGATAACATCGCTAGTGAACTAGCAATTTGGTTGAAAAAAAGTCGCTAGTTTCATACCGATCCGCCTCTTTTTAATTTTTTAATTTATTTATTTTCTCTTAACATAACTACAAACTATCATATTCATGTTCTTCAAAATATATTTTCCCATGCTAAATCTATTATAATTAATATTTAAACAATTGAAATGAATGATTTAAAACCTAAATTTAAAGATATTCTCATATTTTCAACTTTAAAAATCAATAAAAGCTAGTTTTAGGGAAAAAAATTCAAAGGAAAAGAAATTCAATGAATAAAGAAAAAGAAAAAAAGGAGGGGGAAAAATGTTACGATCGGTACTTTTCTTCCAATTGTCCTTGAAGCGAGTTGCTAGTAAGATAGCGATCCTTTGGAATTACGATCGCTAGTTAACTAACAATTTAAGTGAAATATAGTCGCTAATTTCAAACCGATCCCCCTCTTTTTAATTTTTTTATTCATTTATTTTCTCTTACCATAACTACAAACTATCATATTCATGTTCTTCAAAATATATTTTCCCATGCTAAATCTATTATAATTAATATTCAAACAGTTGAAATCAATGATTTAAAACCTAAATTTAAAGATATTCTCATATTTTCAAATTTAAAAATCAATAAAAAATAGTTTTAGGAAAAAAAATTCCATCAAAAAAGAAAAAGAAAAAAAGGAGGAGTAAAAATGTTACGATCGGTACTTTTCTTCCTATTGTCCTTGAAGAGAGTTGCTAGTAAGATAGCGATCCAATGGAGTTACGATCACTAGCTAACTAACAATTTAAGTGAAATATAGTCGCTAGCGATCCTTTGGAATTACGATCGCTAGCTAACTAGCAATTTAATTGAAATAAAGTCACTAATTTCATACCGATCCCCCTCTTTTTAATTTTTTTTATTTATTTATTTTCTCTTACCATAACTACAAACTATCATATTCATGTTCTTCAAAATATATTTTCCCATGCTAAATCTATTATAATTAATATTCAAACAGTTGAAATTAATGATTTAAAACGTAAATTTAAAGATATTCTCATATTTTCAACTTTAAAAATCAATAAAAAATAGTTTTAGGAAAAAAAAATTCCATCAAAAAAGAAGAAGAAAAAAAGGAGGAGTAAAAATGTTACGATCGGTACTTTTCTTCCTATTGTCCTTGAAGAGAGTTGCTAGTAAGATAGCGATACTTTGGAATTACGATCGCTAGTTAACTAACAATTTAAGTGAAATATAGTCGCTAATTTCATACCAATTCCCCTCTTTTCAATTTTTTTATTCATTTATTTTCTCTTACCATAACTACAAACTATCATATTCATGTTCTTCAAAATATATTTTCCCATGCTAAATCTAGTATAATTAATATTCAAACAGTTGAAATTAAAGATTTAAAATCAAAATTTAAAGATATTCTCATATTTTCAACTTTAAAAATCAATAAAAAATAGTTTTAGGAAAAAAAATTCCATC